ATTGGGATTCATGGGCAATTTTCCCTTTTTCCAATGCATGCAAATTTCAACAAAGTCATGATATTGTACGCTTCTTTCCTCCCTGGGGTTGTTCTAGTGGGATGTATCTTTTCACATAATTGCCTTGGTTAACTTAAATCTTAGGCTATTAAATTGTTTCAAACCCTTCTATTAAGGTGTGAAATTTCAAGATTCCATGGTCCCTCTTGAGTCCATCCATGTACCCAATCCACTAGCTTTTCAGGTCAAAAGTTGCAATTAGAGTGCCTTGAGAAGAAAAAGCCTTCCATGTCTGCTGAAAAAGCTAAGGAGATAAACCTGATTAAAGTTTCCTATCCTCAATTGACAGCAAAATTTATGATTTGACACCAATGAAACTCTAAGTAACATCTTTGTTATATTTTTGAGTTTGGTCCACACGTTTTTACTTCTTACTTAATTTCGATTCCAATTTAATTACCCTTTAATTGGTTGTACCGATTAGATGACTATATATGACACAAGCCGACGCTCCACAAGATTATTTGGATATGACAATTCATGGTTTAAGCTGAATTTGTGTTAGAATCACTTTGAAACGGACTAAAACGGCTGACCTGTGGTTCTTCCAACCTACATAATAATAATAATAATAATAATAATAAAAGGAATTAAGGATGGTTGCTTCCAAAGTAAATTTGTCTCGTTTTTTCAATTATAATTAACTGCATTAACAAGTGATAATTATTATTATTTCAATTAATCTTTTATCTACCGACTCTTTGGTACTTAAAAGTAGTACTAGTCACCTATCAATGCATGTTGTGCTCTTCATTATAGTTTTTTTTTTAACGTCAATCTCATGGTAAAGTTTAATTGAATTACTTTTTTTTTTTGCAAGGCGTTAGGTAAGGAAAATGTTCTTGTTTCGGAATTTTTTTGGAACTGGGTTTGTTTATTATTAATCGGTCTATCTTGTTTCAGTTAAAGGTTGCCGACAACAGACATTAGAATCTTATTGTTGTTATCATGTTTCTCTTTTTCAAGATTTGGCTGAAATTAACTTTCCTTGAATGCAAAAATAATTTTCAAAGTCTACAACATGAAATTTTTATTTTGAAAACTTGAATCCATCGTGATGGCTTGTGACGCAAGAATAATATTGATCATTTTCTGGCCATACTTCAGAGGTAAATTGAAAAGGATGTGCAAGATATCTTAGAAGGAGCCCCTAAAATTCTAAGGAAAAACCTGGTTTTCTATGTTATGTTTTTCATTTTCTCCAACGCTATTTATCTATTGAATCACATGTTGTAATGCGCTTACATTCTCCTTCTATTATTTTCGGAAAATATTAGAGATTTAAATTCGTTTTGAGTTTGCTATTGACATATATTCACACAAGGCTTTTGCCTAATAGCTGATTTTATGACATTATTATTAGCTATTGGTAGCAGTTATGTGAATGGATCCTGGAGTCCGTCTCAGCCCTGAACAATGATTAAAATTTAAAAGTAATGTGGATTTGCAATGTTGACAATCTTGTGTTAGAAAAGCTATAATTAAGAGCAGGCTTACCCCTGTGGAAGATGAAGGGAGGTCCATTGGATTTGGGGCCATGCCAGCTGGAGGAACAAGGAATAGCCGAGTCCGAACTCCCAATGGCAGTGGCGCACCAATTAGCTTACATCTTGGATTCTTGGTCTATCTATGGTCCAATTTTGGACAAACATCTGGACCAAGTTGCCAACAATTCACAATCACTTGCAGCAAGCCACCAATTTTCTATAGGAATAAATAATAATGCAATATTTGGCTCTCGAAATTAACAGATACTCTGGATCCAGAGAGGTTTCTCTAAAAACGTAGCATCCAATTTTTTTGAATCTAAGTTAAATAAAGGCCAACTTGTTGCTTTTTTTTATAACAGCATTTACCATTTTGAATTGCATTTAAAAAAAAGAAAAAGAAAAAAAAAGCAAGGCTTTTGGAGAAAAGAAAATGATGCATTATTCTTTGTTTGGACACTTAAAAGTAAAGTAGGGAAAGGAAATTAAGATATTATTAAACTTTTTGTTTGATTTAGATGTGAAAAAAAAATGATACATTATAATAAACTATTTTTCATTACACTGTGTAAAGTTCGTATGTAGTTTTATTTGAAAATTGTAAAACATAATAAGGGCACAATAATATTTTTTTTTTTAAAATTATTTTTTCTTTCCTTTTCCTTTAATTTGGAAATTAAAAAATGAGGATTTTTTTTTTTTAAAAAAAAGAGTGTTGAACCTCCCTTTCCTTTCTTTTAATTAAATTGCAATCCAAAGTAATAATGCAAAATTTTTCATTATCCTTTCCCTTTCCACCTCTCTCTCCTCAGTTCAAACATACTCTTAACGACTATTAATTTTAAGTTTCTCAGAAGATATTAGTAGTACAAAGTATATACCAAGAAAAAAGGTTGTACAAGTTAATAAATCGTAAAGGCAACAACTATTTTTTATTGAAATAAATGAATTACTAAAATTAAAGAGAACAGAAAAATGAAGGACATAAAAGGGTAATACAATAATTTAAAATGCAATTAAAAAAAAGAAAAACATTGTAAGATTGGTATTAAATTTATAGAAATTTATAAATATTACTAATGATTAAACAATTGGTTAAAATATTGAAAAAACCCATGTTCTTTCATATTTTTTTTAAAGTAAGTCTTGTGTTTTGATTGTACCCAAATAAATATCTAAACTTTTATTTATATTCGTGCAAGCTTTTATCTTTGGTGAAAAAATAATTATCTTTAATCTGCGTGTCATCTGACTTTTAAAAATAAAAATAAAAATTAATATTCTTTTGAAATTTCGGAGGATAGTTTTTGAGTTTTTTAGTCATTTATAGTGATTTTTTTTTTTTTTTGTGTTTTTTGGTTATCTATAGTGTTTTTTTTTTTTTTTTTTTTTAGATTTCCATGGTTTGGATTTTTGGGAAAGATTTTTGGAATTTGGAAAATTTCAGCCATTGACTACCATAAAAGATGATGAAAGACTTTTTTCTAGTAGCTGGGAGGAGATGCAGCCTTCGTAGTACCAAACTGAATCATAACCCAGAAATTGAAAATGACGTACAAAAGACCGGAAGGAGTTTATTTGAAAACAGAGTGACGCTTACAAGTTACAACCAAATAGTGCAGCACAAGGACACCAACGAAAGGCAGAACAGAAAGTAACGGATTCTTAAATTACTCCCTAACTTTTCAATCCACTATGTATATCATCCGACTACTACACAAGCAAACCTCAACCAGAAAGCGGCCTAAAATAGACCTAAGAATAACCCAAAGGGCCTTCTAAATCCAGGGCTTACTTCTTTCCACCTTCTTGGGTCTTTACCAACTTTATCATACTCATGCATCATTCTTCCTCCTTCTAGGCTCCTATTCTGGATCTTCGGGCCCAAATCTCTGGTCCTCTGGCCCAAATATCCTGATGTCTCCTGCCAGCGCCGCTTTGCTTGCTGTGGCTGCTGAGACATTGGCGTCTCATTCCACGAATATAATTCACAATCCACGAGAGCGATGAAAGTCCAGTGACCCAATAGCTCCAGAGATCAAGAACCCAGCAATGGAACCTGCAATGACGAGAGCAGTAGGGACAAAAACGGGGCTGAAAACCAGGAAAATTGGCGTGGCGATAGCAAGACCTACTAGGGTTCCGATAAGGCTCAAACTAGCAAGCAAGAGAAGGGTGCCGGCGTGCAGCCAACAGGAAGAAGGGTGACAACTGCAAGAACTTTTGACGTTGAGGAACCGTTTTCTTGAAAGAAATTCTTCGAGTTATCAGTTTGGTTGATGCTCAGCCATGGCTTCAGAGGTTGCTTTTATTTTATGGATTGCACTGAAAAGACAATAAGAAGGGACACCTGAAAGGAGAGGGGGTGGAGGGTGGATGGAGTCGCGAATTTACAGCATATTTGGGATGAAGGAAAGGGAGAGAGAGGGAAAAGAATTAGTAAGTAAAATTAAAAGAAAAATGAAAAATTTTTTATATGAATAAAAAAAAGAAGGTATATTTAGCCTCACTTGATTTTTTTTTTAATTTTTAATTATTTCAAATTGCAAAAAAAAAAAAAAGAAGAAGAAAAAGGAAAGAAATAAAATTTTAAAATATAAAATAATTATTATATTTTATTAGTTTTAAATTAAAAATGTATAATTTTGAATTTAAAATTAGATTAAGAATATAAATATTATTTATTAATAAATTTATTATTTATTATTTATTTATTTTATGAATTTCATAAATTTTATTGATAATTATTTATAAAAAAAATAAAAAAATTGAAAATATAAAATATGTTAATATAAACATATAATATTATAATAAAAATAAAGATTATCAAATGTTATAATCGAATAAAAAATAAAAAATTATTTTTTATTATTTATTTAAATAATAGTTATTAAAATTTTTTATTTTTATTTATTTTAACGATTCAAATAAAATATATAATTTTTTATTTTTTAAATTTTATTTATTTATTTATTTACAAACGATTATCCAAACACAGGAGAAACAAAGTGGCTGACGCGTAGAATTTGGTGACACTTGTTCGATAGATGGTGTAAACTGGTCTGCATATAATTATGTCTTTTTTTAAGTGTCTTTTGTCAGACTGTTGTGACGACATCTAGTGTTACCCGAGAAAATAATATCTATAACAATAAATAAGAGCAATCCTCATTTTATCTTGATTGTATAATTCATCAAGGTAAAGATGTTTCGAGAATACAAAACTTTTTCTTCGTTTGAGAACATCCTCGTCTTCATAAAATATACCTTTTTGAAATCGGACACCTCATCATTTTAGAAATCTGACATCTCCATAAAAAACAAACTCTCTTTAGAAATCTAACATCTCCTCTCTTCTAATTTACACACCGAAAACAAAAATGACAAAAACAAACAAAGGAGAGATTGGCACTTCTAGACGTAGCTTCGGAGGAGGCGGTGGTAGGATTGACCATGGCTCTAAAGGCAGGCGCCGTGGTGAAAAAATGGAGAAGAGAAATGGCTACCAGTAACAAAGCTCGAACATTTGGTGAAACCTGACAAAAATTACTTCCCTGGACCAAATCTGAAAACTTGGAAGACGAAGAGAGGGGAAGTCGTACATAATAAAACTAAAAGCTTCTAGAGTTGTGGATAAAGAAGCTTTCCATTTGGTGAATCTTTCCCCGATCGGCACCAAGTGCGTCTCCAAAATCCAGAACAACATCGTCGTTTTGGCTGACTATGTCGTTGTTTTCGAGGATCACGGTCACATCCCTACCATTTCTTTCAAGGTTTAATTCTGCTTTTCCCCTTTTCTTCTTCTAAGTTTTCATATTTGGATATGTTAGAGCAAGATTATTAAGATTTTCTTTCAAATGATGAATAATAATCAATACATCTAAAACTAAAGGGCGCAAGGATTGATTTTTATGTTCATACTTTAAATCAGATAGATTTGTTATTGTTTTACTTGAAATAGTTGATTTTCAATTCTGACGTAGAATTATTTTGATTTAAAGGAAACTTTACTTCCTCGAGCATAACTGACTTGCTGCAAACTCATCCCTACATAAGTTCTAACATCCCATTGACAGAATGTCAATTCGTGAGAATGCAAATTGACCAAGGTTTGCCATATGGGAACAATCTTCATCATTGGGAGAATGCAACGCGTGGTCATTTACATTCACAACTCAGTAGGCTGGTAATTACCTAGCATGTTTCCAGTCGACGAACCATACTCATGGAGGTGTAGAAAAAAATCCAATAGATTATTTCATTCACGCAATATACATAAGATATAAACATATCTTTTTTTTTCTTTGCACAAGATATACACCATATACACAAGATATACAAAAATACAAAAGATATAAACACAAGATATAAATTATTGTGATTATCACACTTTTTTTTTTTTTTTGCTCTGTTACGTGATTGTTCCTCTTTAATATAGTGCGAAGTTATTTCTCTTTAATGCAAATTTTAAATTAATTTAATTTATGGTTTAGATTCTTCAGCTGATTTGAAGCCTTTCTTTACCTAACGTTATCTTCTAATTGATGTTACTTGGCAGTTGAGATTTTATAGATATTGTGATATTTTGACAATATTGGAATTATGCTTTTGGACATCAAGGTACTTCATTTTTTCTGATAGAACACTGCTGTGTTTGTATTTTCGTGTATAATTTGATGTTGTGCTTTATATTCAAAGGGCAAAAGTCATTATGGATAAAATAAGGTACTTCAAACTTGCAGACCTCTGATCATCCAAAAAAGTTTTGAAGATTTTAAGGAAACTATGTAACTTCCTCCCTATAGTTACTAGATTACAGTGGCTATTTCCATAAAATAATAGTTTCATCTGCTTCATGTCTAATTCAAATGCCTTTGGGATTAGATTAAAAACATTTTTATTTGATTAGAAGGGTTTTAGAAAGTTATTGTGTCATAAGAATTTTTCGTTTGGGGGACTCAATCATTATTAGATTTTGTGAAAATTTATGAAATCGTCACCAATATTTTATTTGTAGAGTGTAATTGATCACCCAAAAATATCATTTTTTAATACATATCTTAAAATTAATTAAGATTTACTAAAAAACATTTTGGTCTGCGAAATCAATGTAGGGTTTGAGAGAACAGTTACAAGTGAAGAAGGTATTAGCATATTCACATCTCCTGTTCGAAGAACGATACCAATTAAACATGTGTAATCTTTTAACCTTGACAATGTGGTCTTTTTTTAATTTAAATTTAATTTCATAAAATTTATTTATAAAAAATATTTTTTGTTGTGAAATCAATATTATTATTACTTCGTATTCTATAAATTGTCCAACACTTTAGAGGAATTTATAGAAAATTTTTATTTAGAAAATATTTTAGGAAAATTGACCATTCCAAAAATTTTTTAAATTTCATCATAGAATATTTTATTTATTTATTTATTAAAAATGATTTTAAGAACATCTCAACTCTTTGGCGAAATATAAAATTTATTAAACAAATTTTAAGATTATCCCGACTCTTTAGTAAAATCTTAAAAATTTTAATCAAATTTTAAGACTATCTCAACTTTCTAATGAGATCCTAAATAAAATTATTTTTTATTGATGATAATTAAGAGATTCAATTAAACATTTGATTAATTTTTATTGTGATTATTTTAATTTTTTTATTTACAATTTATTATTTAAATAAATATTTATTTAGTAAAAAAATAATTTTAAGATCATATGACTCACTGGCAAAATCTATAAATATTTACTTGATTAATTAAGGAAAATTGAACCCTTTTAATTTTATTTAAAAATTACATTTTTAGAATCTTTATTCAAACTATCAATTATTATTATTATTATTTAAATAAACTTTTATTTTAGTAAAAATAATTTTAGATTATATCAATTCTATGGTGAAATCCAAAAAGTTATTTTTATTTGCAATAATTAAAGAAAACCCAACTCTTTCACTCTTCTTTAAAAAATTAACATTTTGGTAAAATTTAAATAATATTTTACTTGTAACAAAATTTTAATTTTTCTTAAATAGATATTTTTTAAGGACTTTTTTAAAGATTTATACATATTATTTTATATTAGGTCCATATTTTATTTTAATTCTATTTTTTAATTTTTTATTTCAAAAAAATGAATATTAATAATAACATAAAATAACAATAATATCATTAAAAAAAAAACATAATAAAATGTAATAAACATTAACACAAAATAAATAAAATAAGAATCAAAATAAAAAATAAAAAGAAAAGGAAAATCTGCCAATTGGGCGAGTCACCTGGCGGTCGTGCGCAGGTCAACAGGTTGATTCGTGGGTCAAAGGCTCCCAAAATGACATCATTTTGTGACGCCTATAAAAGGCCTATTTCTGTTTTTTTTTTCTCCTTTCTCTTTAAAACCTAAAGCCTTTATCTTTAGAAAATACCTTTCCGTCGATCGTCATGCAATTTTAGTTTTCGGCCAGTTGCCACTGTGCTTTCACCAAAAACTTCAATTGATATTGAAAAATTCAAAACACAAGCCAATTTTGGTGGGTTTCAGTTCCCAGTGGTTGAAAACTTCAACACTTCTTTGAAAAATTTAAATTTTCCCAGATTTCAACGAACCAATAAAAATTTAAAAAAAAATCTCAAAAAATTTAGATTACTCCTTTTTTATTTTCCAAACACTATTTAAAAATCATATTTTTATAGAAAAACTCAAACCTATAGATCAAGAATTTCATTTTCATGATTTTTTTATTTTTTTATGTTTGCTGCACGTTCCTCTTATGAGGATATGATGTTTTATGTTTTTCTTTGTGTTTGTGCGTGCCTTCTGTGTAGTTTTTTTTTTTTTGTTGCAGAGATTGGGTCTATTTATAGAGCTGTTGAAGATCAAATCCTAGATTGTCAGAGACTTTTGTGGATTCTTTATGGAAAAATAAAGATTTGTCTAGTGACTTTTGGTTGTTCGGATTTTATGCTACCAAGTTAGGTAATGCAGATAAATTTTTAGTGCATTAAATGCACTTTGGTTTTGTGCCAGAAGATGAAGAAAAGATGTCAAAAAATAAAAGAAAAAAAATGAAAAAGGTGTCAGAAGAAATGAAAATATAATAATAATAATAAATAATAATAATAATAATAATAATAATATATTATTATATTACTATTATATGGAAATGAGAAGAAATAAAAAATATTGTCTACAATTGTCTCTATTTGTATATTGTGAGAATCATAAATAGGGTAAAGATGAAAAGACAACAATTTTTTCAGGATGATGTTATAAATACGAACACCTTTTTCTCTTTTTTTTTTTGTTTTTTGTTTTTGAAATTTAGAAGGCTTTTCAACGCAGAGGCTTGACAACTTTTGAAAATTTAAAAGCTCCTATAAGCTAAGTAGAGTTTATGAAATTTTAAATTCAAAAGGCTCATCTGATTAAAGGTTATAAAATTTTCAAAGAAAGCTCTTTTGACCTGAGGTAATGAAACTTTAAATGGCTTTTTTGACCATAGGCTATGAAACTTTAAATTTAAAAGGCTCATCTGACTAGAGGCAATGAAACTTTAAAATTAAAATTTTGATAAGACTTATAGATAATGTCCTAGTCTTACAAATCATTCCTAACTTTGATGGAGTCCTCTAACCAGAGGCTATGAAACTTTAAATGGCTCATTTGGCCAGAGGCTATGACACTTTAAAGAAAGCTTCTCTAACCACAGGCAATGAAACTTTAAATGGCTCCTCTGATTAGAGGCTATGAGACTTTAAATTTAAAAAGTTTCTCTGACCAGAGGTAATGAAACTTTAAATTTAAAGGTCTGAGAGCATTTATAGATTATGCCATTTAGTCTTACAAATCATGCCTAATTTTGATGGAGTCTTCTGACCAGAGGCTATAAAACTTTAAATGGCTCATCTGACAAAGGCTATGACACTTTAAAGAAAGCTTCTCTGACCAGAGACAATGAAACTTTAAATTTAAAAGTCCGAGAGGACTTATAGATTATGCCATTTGGTCTTAGAAATCATGTCCAATTTTGATGGAATCTTCTGACTAGAAGCTCTTAAAATTAAAAAGGTATTCTGACTAGATGCTATGAAACTTTAAATGGCTCTTCTAACTAGAGACTATGACACTTTAAAGAAAGCTCCTTTGACTATAGGTAATGAAACTTTAAATAGCTCTTTTGACCAAAGGCATTGAAACTTTAAATTTAAAAATTTGAGAAGCAATGGTATTTGAAAGATTCCTTTAAATAGAGGGTTTATATCTTTTTCACTTTTAACTTTTTTTTTTTGTTGATCTTGGATTGTTCAAGACCCATATATCGTTGTGTCACATGCGTGCATAAATGATATTTTCATGCTTTTATAATGTCATGCAGTGAATTAAGAATATGATGCAAATGCACTTATGATGCAAATGAGAAGATCATCTTCTTTTTTTGTAATTTTTATCATTTTTAATGCTCAAAATTTTTCATTGTCTTTTTCCATTTCCTTTTCCAAATCCCATGTATTTTAGCCATTGATTAGGTTCAGATAAAAAGGTTTCTCTCTTCATTTTTCATATTCAATGTTTACCACTTTTATAACTTATAGGCCTATTTCCTTATCCACCTTTGTTCCTTACTATTTTTCTTATCATTTTAAATTTCTTTCAAAATAATGTGTGTGCCTTTCATGATCATCGTCACTCACTTATCATCTTTTGAATTTTATGACAATACATTGCAAATTTTTCTTTTCAATGAGATAGACAAAGAAAGGATAAATAAAGGGGTATTTTATTTCAATAAAAAAGAGAAGTGTTTCATGCATTATATAAAAGCATATAACAAGGAAAACAAATAATCACATAACGAACATTCAAATCATCATGAACTAATTCATCTTGGATTCTTTTATGAAAACTCTTAATTGATATCCCTAGACATTTTGAAAATGTAATAGACTAAGCTAGCCTAAAACCAATGAGATCTTTTGGCATATATTGAGAATTGCCTCATTTCATTCAATGCTTCTTTATCTAAGTTGCCATTTTTTATTTTTAACTTAAATATCTTTTCAGTTCATTTTATTTTTTCATCTTTTTTTTCTTGTTTAAGCATAGTACTTCTTTTCTTTATCGACATTGACTAGATTTGGTAGATCATCCTTATCCATTCTTGCTAAGATCAGTATTTTATCAGATAAGGTTTTTTTCACCACATATAGACTTTCTCAATCAGGTGTCCAATTTCTCAAAGGATCCTATTGGTTAGGAAGAATCTTTTTCAATATTAATTTTCCTTTTTGAAATTTTCAAAGGTGAACTTTTTTGTCATGAGCTAGCATCATTCTTTTTTGATACAGTTGACCATGGCAAAGTATAGCTAGTATCTTTTCTTTAATGAGATTCAATTGTTCATACCGAGTATGAACCCATTTAGTTTTTTTCAAATCAACTTCCATGAGAATGCATAAAAAAGGAATTTCAATTTCAATAAGGCAACACTTCTTCCATCCCATAAACTAATAAAAATGGTGTAACTCCTATAGATGTGTGAATTGAAATTTGATAAGTATGTAAATGATAGCTTTTCATGCCAATCTTTATATAAATCTATCATCTTTTCAATAATTCTCTTTATGTTCCTATTAGTTGTTTCATCTGTCCCATTCATCTTTGGACGATAAGGTAATGACTTGTGGTGTTGAATTTTGAACTAGGCACAAACCTTTCTCATTATTTTGTTATTCAAATTAAGAGCATTATCCAAAATGATCCTTTTTGAAAGTTTATATCGACATATAATCTCTTTTTTTGATGAAAATACAAACCACCATTCTCGTCACATTAGCATATGAAGCTGCTTCTACCCACTTTGTGAAGTAGTTAATTACCATTAAAATGAATCGATGTCTATTTGAAGCTTTTAGCATAATAAGCCCTATCATGTCCATTCTTCAC